AGCGAAGTAAAGATAGTGAAGAAATAATTCAGATTTTCAATGTATATAGTAAAGGATTGTGTTTTTGAGAGCGATAAAAATGAATAGATCTGAGCGAACCTTGTCGTGTTGCGATTTATCACGTGTAAAATCAGCGATTTTACTATTCGTTGGTAACGTTGAGAGCGAAAGCAGCATTGGTCTCACCCTTTTTGCCGATCGCGCGAGCAACATACTGACCGATGTCGCTGGCTGTGCAAGCTTTAATACGCAACTCGAACGATTTGTCACCGTCTGAACTGAAGAGGTACCTGCTGCTAGATTCCGGGAGTGCTTTTCCGTCTTTCAACCACGTTACTGTATCGCACACAAATGACCATATTTTTATTCCGATTTACGTTTTGCAATCTATCACTTACCTTTCAGAGGCGCGGTTTCAGTCTTGCATACGAACGTAACCGATTCGCCTTCGCTTACCGTTGCAGATTGAGGGAATGTCGTGAAGACTGGACTCTTCGGTTCCTCATTTGGAACTACAGAGGTGTACGAAAGAATAAAACGGTCGTGAGACTTTTCCGTTTGTTGCGTCGAGATGTTTATAAATGTTTACCGATAAAGGGGATCGTTAAGCGTACCAAGAACGTTTAATGTGCACGACGAGAAACTCTCTCCTGCGTCATTGAATGCCTCGCAGGTATAAGTACCAGAATCTTCGGGGAAGATCTCGGCTATGTTTAATTTATAGATATTGGCCTCGCTAGTGTATTGGAAGTCCTTGCTAGGTTTGATTTCCTTGTTGTTGTGAAGCCAGATCACGTCGAACTTTTTCGCACCGATTATTCGGCAGCTCAAAGTGACGGCTTCACCATCCTTTACGAACATACTGGTCAAATGGTCCACGATTTTCGGAGGCTTATCGTCGGTCTTTTTCTTCGCGGCTGCACCCGCCATAGCTGCTGCAAACGTATATCGATTGAACTTTAGTATTCTCTTATTTTATTCTTCTTTCGAAGAAACAACTGTACAAGTATTATACATATATAGAGTATCGCAATCGCGCTATTTACTTACGTTTAACCGTTAATTTGCAAGAGGTAGTTACGGTACCGATGCTGTTGCTTGCCTGACAAGTGTACTCGCCCTCATCTTCGGGGAATACTTCGTTGATAACGAGTGTCGCGACTCCGGCTTTATACTTCAAGCTCATGATCTCCGACGAGCTCAGAGGCTGATAGAGAGAGAGAGAGAGAGAGAGAGAGAGAGAGAGAGGGTGGGGGAATGTTTAATTCACAATTTCAACATGGTAATATCATCTTTACAATCCGTATGTTTTATACCTTGCCATTCTTGGTCCAGGTAACCTGTGGTTCCGGATCACCGTTAACATTTACGCTAAGTTCTAGTTGTTCTCCGTCGTTGACAGTGAGATCGGACAATTTTTTGGTAAATTGCGGTGCTCTCATCGAATCATCCGGAGGATCTTTATAGAGACAGAATTTACTAGAGGCTTCGGATCGTTTGTGGAAAAAAGTGAAATACGTATTTGTATCACTTACAAACTAATTCCTTGGTCGTACTCCTGGAACGGGACGGGCTGCCGGCAGAGTCAAGTCCGTATTTCTTCACGCTTCGTTTGTCCGTACTGGATTCGGAGGCCTAAAGTAGTTACGTTAAAGTAGTTAGTTAAAGGAGATTTCTTCTTCCCTTGCTGTTTTAACACACTTACTTTATAAGACGAAGAGGAGGAAGTGGTGGAATTGTGTTTAGCGGTAGTACTACTGTAATTGTGGCCCTGCGTGGTAGTGGAACTGTATCCACTGTATCCACCGACTTTGTGTACCGTGACGATCGGTGGTGGTGCTGGTTTCAGTGGTTGTTCGATGAATCTTCGATCTGCGAAAAAAGGTACGTGTCGCATTCACATATCACTCCTACTTATACATACGTATGTGTACGTACTATATTTAACAACACGCAACTATTGATTAATAAATAGACGATAAACAATTGGAATCTGTTCGTTAAATGGTTCGGGGTACACAAGGATCGTTAATAGTGTGGAATAGAGGGGTAAAAAGCGACTAGAAAAGATGCGTCTAAAGGTGGAATCTTGTCAGGGGTTATCTCGTTGGACAAGAGGGTGGGGGAATGAGAAAGTTAGTTTCAAGTTAGATGAAAGGATATATGTATAAGAGAAATATTATAGAATAAAAGGGGAGGATTGGTGCAAGGGGGCTGCATGCACTCAATAGCTCTACCTCCGGAATGTAGGAGGTCGTGTGCTAATTTAACTTGCTCCTCAGTTTCTCCAGTGCCTATAAAGAAATATTCCATGAATCGTTCACAGTTGAGAAAGTCGAAAGAAGAAGAAAAAGAGAAATATCGGTTTCCATAGATCTGTTGAAATTGCTCGATATCAAGCGCGTACCTTCAACGATGACGACACAGCTAGTTTCGTCTTTTCCGTGAATGTTGGTCGCGACGCAACGATATTTGCCGCTGTCCTCTGGTTTGCAGTCGATTATCTCCATGGTGACAACACCGTCCGCGTGCGTCATCGCGTAATGATATTTCGAGAGCTCATCCCTATCCTTGTACCATTTAACCGTCGGTGGTGGATTGCCGCTGAGGCAGCAGAGCAGTTTACACGTTTGCCTGACTTGGATGACACGCGGTCGAAGCAGGAAGGTAAAGCTCGGCGCTGATTCGATCGTCTCCAACCAGACGTTGTAGCCAAGTGGTTCTCTCCTTCTGACTGGATGCAGTTCTGGCCTGTACTTTGGAATCTCTATCGGCAGCGCTGAAAATCGGACAGAGAGTGAGCGTGATGGTAGAAGAAGAAGAAGAAGAAGACGACGACGGTAGGTAGGAGGGCCTGGTAGCGCAAGCTGCTTTCTAACGTACGTTGCACGTTCAAGAAGACGACTTCCTCTCTGTAACCATAGTGATTCTCCGCCCTGATCACGTACTCTCCTCTGTCTTCCAATTTCACTCTGTTGATGATGAAGGTGTAGTCGTCCCCGTGGTATCGTTTCATGAATTTCACCGATTGTCGGAGTTCCTGGTTGCTGTGGAACCACGTGAGCGTCGGAGAGGCTATCGCGATCACGCGGCAAGTGAACTTGACGCTCTGGCCTTCGTATGCAAACGCACTGGTGGGTTTGATCACGAACCTTGGTGCCGCTTGTCGTCGATCTGCAACAGAGTTATACGTACAGTTATACGTATACGCATAGAGAAAGAAAAGTTTGGAACCGATGATTCCCCTCACCGAAGCAAGAATCGTAGATCTTGTATTTGTCGATGAGCAACTTTCTCAGCGAAGAGTATTCGGCCAGTCGGCCAATAGGAAGAACGTATTTATCCCAGTTCTCGTACTTGGCTCGCAGCCTGTCTCTGAAGTTCAGGTATCGACTGCTTGCAATCGGAGTTGTACGGTTGCTATGATCACCGGTTAACCATGGATGAAGGAGACATTCGTGGGCGGTCATACGTTTCCTGGATTTATAAATTGCGCGATAAATAAAACGCGTGTCGTAAGAGAGAATGTTCGGAAATAACGGAAATAACGTACTCTTTGTTCTTGACGAGTAGCCGTCTGATGAAGTCCTTGCCTTCTTCGGAGACATCGCGGAATGCTTCTTCGTCGAAGTCCCAGTCGCAGGCTTTAACGTTCTTCAGCGTTTCGATGTCGTTATCTCCGGCAAACGGCGAAAGTCCACTCAACCTGTATAAATGTCGCATCGATTGGATTAATCGTGCATCGCTCGAATACCGGGGAGAATGAAAAAACGGCTTACAGAACATAGGCCAAGACACCGCAAGCCCACATGTCCGTATAGAAGCCAACTGGTTCGCGTTCAACGATTTCAGGCGCGGCAAATTCAGCCGTACCTGTACTGATCTTTACTACCTCGTTAGGATCGAGTTTCGTGGCTAAACCGAAATCGATCAATTTCACGTTGGTACTGTTGCGCGTCTGACACATAATGTTCTCAGGTTTGATATCTGAAAAGGAGAGCAGTAACAATTATTACTGGTTACGGGCCTGTAGTGTGCAGGAAAGAAAGATAAAGGAGGGAGAGAGAGTTTTACCTAAATGTATGATGTTCTTCTCGTGCATATGTTTCACAGCTTCGCAGATTTGCCGCATGTAATTGATAACTTCAGCCTCGGACATGGTGTACCCGTCCGCCGTGATTCTCTCGAAGAGCTCACCGCCGGATAAGCTGGAGGAACGAAAGAAAGTTTACTCGGAGTTTACGAAGAAGAAATTACAGGTGGAGGCACTTACAACTCGAAGATCAAGACCATCTCGTCGTCGTCTTCGAAGGCATCGTGGAGGTTGATCAACTTGGGATGATGCAGCTGATTCATTATGTCAATCTCCTTTCTAATAAGTTCCTTCTCCATCGCATGGGACACAGGAATAAACTTTGCCGCGAAGATGTTACCGGTAGCTCTCTCGCGACAACGATGGACCACGCCGAACGCGCCGGTTCCGATCTCCTCGAGAATGTCGTACCTGTCGTAGACCGAGATGTGTTTTATTTCAACCGGCTGCGGCACGTATTTGCTGTAGATGTCGAAGACGAATTGATCGTAGTCCCGTGGCTTCTCGTCGCTTCGTCCACGGATCTTCTTTCCAGTTTCGTCCACCTTGTACTCCTTCTGCTTGAACTCTCTCTTGACGGTGCCCTTGGTGGTGATCAAGGGTGTGACCTCGCTTGGATCGGACCTACCGTAGATGTTCTCCGCGCAGACACGGAAGTCGTATTGGTGGCCTGGACTGAGTCCGGTAACCGCCATCGAACAGAATCTGGTGTTTCCAACTCTGATCCAGCTGGTCATCGGGTGTTCCCGTTTCTCGACGAGGTAGTTGGTGATGTTGCTGCCGCCGTCCCACAGCGGTGGTTTCCAGCTCAAGGCCAACGAATCGTGGCCGATGTTGTCCACCTGTGGGAACCTCGGTGGATCCGGCCTGTCGCTGATCTGGATCTTGATGATCGCGGTGTCCTGCCCGAGATCGTTCTCCGCGGTGATACGGTAGGGTCCCGAGTCGATGCGGCTGCCGTCTAGTATCGTGAGAACAGCGTGTCTCTCCTTCACTTCCACGGTGTAATGTCCACCGGACTCGATCGTCTCTCCCTCTCTCACCCAGGTGATCTTTGGTTTCGGATAGCCGGTGAACGGAATCTTGATCACGACGTTCACGCCTTTGTCGAAGAACGCGGTGTCCCTGAATCTCGGTGGTACGTTCAGTTTCGGCGGAGTCTTGATCAGAAGCTCGCCCTTGGTCGACTTGACGCCGCATTTGTTCACAGCGCGACAGAAATACTCGTCCGCGTCCTCCCCGAAGACATCGTGAATGATCAAGTTGTGCACGTCGCCCTCCGAGTATATGTTGTATCGAGATCCACCGACCAGTTCGCGGGCACCTTTGAACCAGGTGATCGTCGGCTTTGGAATACCGATGATCTTGCATTGGAAGTGGGCGTTGTGGTTTTGCACGCAGTTCACCTTGTGCAACGGTTGGATGATCTCCGGGGCTTTGGCAGCTTGAGGATCGGCGATCTTCACGGACGTGGAAGCTTTCGATTCCGGTCCCAGGCCTGCTGCGTTTTGCGCGAACACGCGGAACTCGTATTGCCTTCCTTCGATCAGGTTCGGGATGTTGATCTGCGTGGGCAGGCAGATCGCGACGTTCACGCGTTGCCAGGTCTGACTGCCGGCCTCGCGTTTCTCGATCCAGTAGCCCTGAATCTTGGAGCCACCGTCCGATTCTGGCCTCTCCCACGACAGGTTTACGAAGTCTCCGCCAACCTGGGTTACCTTCGGTGTTCCCGGCGGGCCTGGAGGATCGAACGGTGCCTTCGCTTTGATGGGATTCGTTCCCTCGAGAGGCGGGCCCATCCCGTTGTCGTTCACCGCCATCACGCGGAACAGATACTCTTGTCCTTCGGTCAGACCTTGCACCATGAACGTGCACTCCTTGCAGAACGACGAAACGATGATCCAGTGAGTGAGACTGACGTCGCGACGCTCCACGACGTAGTGAGTGACGCGAAGCCCACCGTCGACCTTAGGTGGATGCCAGGTGAGAGTGCAGGTGTGTTTGTCGATGTCGGTGACGTCGAGGGGTCCGGTTGGCGGGCCAGGCAGTCCGGTAATATAGACGTTGAACGAACCGCTCACGTTGCCGCTGTCGTTCGAGAGGCAAAGATCGTAGACGCCGGCGTCGTCTTTCTCGATGTCCTTGATGAAGATGATCAGATACTCGTCGAACACCGTGTACTTGATGTGGGAGGTCTCGACCACTTTGCGGCCGTCCTTCTTCAGGACGACGTCCATCGGTTGATCGCCGCTGTAGAAGATCTTGATCTTGGTGTTGTCTCTCTCGGCCAGATACAGATCATCCGGCATGCGCGTGATATGCGGCGGAGAACCGATCTTCAGTCGACACGTGGTCGTGGCTGTGCCAAGCGGATTCGAGACCTGACAGCTGTAATCGCCGTCGTCCGCGTTCATTACTTCGGAAATCACCAGTCTGTAAATTCCGTCGAACGCCTCTGTTCGGAACCGACCACCGACCGTTATCTCTCTGCCGTTCTTTAGCCACCTGTAAAGCGGTTGGTAAAGGTTTTCCGGTAGCCTCGCACTCGAGTACCAGAGTTTTGCCAAGTGGCACGTTCGTACTGATCGGTAGAGTTCGCACGAACTCCGGTTTCTCGCCACCTTCGACCTCGCAGATCTTGACCGGCGTGGTGCAGGAGCTTGGCTCCGACCTTCCAGCGGCGTTCACCGCGAAGACACGGAACTCGTAGTCGCCGCGTTCGATCAGATGCAGAACGGTGTATTCGGTGTCGGTGACGTTGTACTCGTTGCACTTGGCCCAGAGCGCGCTTCCAACTTCGCGCTTCTCGATTACGTAGCCGGTGATACGGCTGCCACCGTCCGATACCGGTGCCTCCCACTTCAGGTCCACGTAATTCTTTCCGACCTTGACCACCTGCGGTGTGCCCGGTGGCGAGGGTACGTTGAACTTGCTCTTCAGCTTGAACGGAGCCGAAGGTGGGCTGGGTTTGCTGAAACCAGCCGCGTTCTTCGCTCGGATTCTAAACTCGTACTCGTGCCCGCTCAGCAGATTGTAGCAGATGTACGTTGTGTCTTTGACGAGATAGTCGTTCGCCACACGCCACGTCGCGTCGTCGGCAGGATCGCGGAATTCGATCTTGTAACCCTGAATACGGGATCCGCCGTCGGACATCGGTCGTGTCCATACCACCGTAGCGTTCGACGTGTCCCAATCGATGACGCGAGGCTGTCCAGGAGGTTCTGGTACCGTGAACGGGAATTTCGCGGTGATTGGCTCGTCAGCCTGCAACGGTTCCGATACTCCGTACTGGTTCTCCGCACGGATACGGAAGTTGTACTGGCGATTCGGTTCGAGGCCGATCACGTCGTAATGTGTGTTCCTTACGAAACTGCTCAGCTTCACCCAGTACTGAAATCAAGCCAGTCCAGTCGTTTCAACAGACTAATCTCCTTGGGGTATATTCTGAAGAGAAAATGAAATCTTACGCCTGCCGGATCCAGTTTCTCGACGATGTAATTGGTAACGGGTGAACCGCCGTCGTCGAACGGAGGTTTCCAAGACAGCGTACAAGTCTCTGGAGTGATGTCGGAAATGTCCAGTGGTGCTTGCGGCGGAGATGGTTTATCTACGAGAAGAGGATATTATCACCGCGCGAATAAGCCTACTTTGCCGCAATAAAGAAGGGTCTCGTAAACGATCGTATCTCGGGAACACTTACCGACAACGAGAACCTTGCACGAAGCCGAGTCTGTGCCAACGGTGTTGGTCAGGTAGATGGTGTACGTTCCTGTGTCGGATCTCTTGGCCTTCTTGTTGACGAACTGCGAAGCGACGTCCGTTGTGTCGAACTTAATTCTATCACCTGTGAGGACCTCCTCGCCGTTTATAGACCAGCTTGGTCTCGGTTTCGGATTCGCCTGGTACGGGACGGTGATGGTGAACGGTTCTCCAGCGATCACCGTCATGTCGCGAATGCTCAGGTCGGACGTGATCTTTGGCGGGAACGGCGGTGCACTGGCTCTGATCACGTCGGAATTCGAACTCCACGGTCCACGACCAGCCGCGTTTTCAGCAGCAACGCGGAACTCGTAATCGTGGTTTTCGATCAAGCCAGTTACTCTGTAAGTAGTCTCGTGAACGAGGGACGGGGTCGCTTTCACCCATTTGTCCTCGCTGAGCAGGCGCTTCTCGATCACGTAACCCTGGATAGGAGAGCCTCCGTCGTGACGAGGCTTGGTCCACGTGATCGTGATACTGTCTTCGGTGGTTTCAACGCCCTTGGGAGTTCCAGGTGCTCCAGGTGGGTCGAACGGATGCCTGGCTTTGATCGGGTCCATGGTGGTTACAGGGTCGGAAGTGCCGTATTGATTCTCCGCCATCACGCGGAATTCGTACACGCTTCCGACTATCAGATTTCTCACTCGAACGAACGGTGTTGTCACGTAGCTGCTCACCTTCGACCAGGTGCCCTTTGGTTCGCGTTTCTCTACGACGTAGTTGGTGATATCGGCGCCGCCGTTATCTTTAGGCGGGTTCCAGAATAGCGTGAGAGCATCTCCACCGAACTCGTCGGCGTGAAGATTCTGAGGTGGATTCGGACGATCGAGAACTCGAACGTTCACGGTGGCGGTATCGAAGCCGGAAGAATTGCGCAACTGTAGTCGGTACTGTCCGCCGTCCGAGCGTTTCGCATTCTTCACTACCAGGCTAGCGTAGTCGTCGCCCAACTGTTGGTGCACACGTGGATCGGTCTCGTCTTTGATGACGTCGTTAGCGTACCATGCGGCAGTTGGTTTTGGGAAACCGATGTAAGGTACGTGAATCGAGAAGTCTTCGCCAGCGCGGACGGTGATATCGCGGACACCTCCGAGATCCATCACGGGTTTGTTGGGCTGTTCTTCGATCACGATCGGGTTGCTTGCTCGGCTGGGATCGCTGTTGCCGACATCGTTCACTGCGATTACTCTGAACAGGTACTCCTCTCCTTCCGTTAGTTTCGGCACGGTGTACACGTTGGTCGGTATCAGTGCACCGTTCACGTCGTCCCATTCGTCCTGGCCTCTCTGTTTCATCTGAATAATGTAACCTCTGATCTTGGCACCGCCGTCGCTGCGCGGTGGTCGCCAGCTAAGCGTCACCGAGTCTTTCGTTATTCTGTCAGGTTTGGGTGGTTCGGGAGCATCGGGACGTAGACGTTGATGTCCAGCGGTGATCGGTTCGGTTGGTTTGCTGGGTTTACCAGGTCCAGCTTCGTTCACAGCGATAACTCGGAATTCGTATTTCGAGCCTTCGTGAAGGTCTTGCACGGTGAACGTTGTATTCGGAGTTGGATAGTTGTTGACTTTGAGCCATTCTCCACCCCGTTCGCGCCTTTCCACGTAATATCCGGTAATAGGCTTGCCGCCGGTATTGAGCGGCGGATTCCAGAAAAGACTGCAACTGTTCGGGGTGTATCCAAGGATCTCGGGTTGACTGGGCGCATCTGGTGGATCGTACGGACTCTTGGCGATAACGGGTTTACCCTCCAGTGGTTCCGATACGCCGTACATGTTCTCCGCGCGCACTCTGAACACGTATTTCTTGCCCTCGGTGAGTCCTTTGGCGGTGTAGCTCGTTCTCGGGCAGTATCCAGGTGTCTGGCGCCAATTGTCCGCTCCGTAGTCCGATACTTCGACGATGTAGTTGGTGATGTCGGATCCACCGTCGTCCACAGGTCGGTTCCACGACAGAGACACGGAATCTTGCGTGGTGGCAGTGTATTGAAGAGGTCCCTGCGGTGGCCCAGGTCTGTCGACAACGGTAACCTCGATGTCGGCTGAATCCTTTCCGTATTCGTTCATCGCTGTAACGGTGTAGACACCGCCGTCCTCTCGTACAGATTTTTCGACCAACAGGTTCGTACGGTCGCTCTTCGTTTCCGTCTACAAATTATACGAACGCGTGATTAATTGCCGCGATGCTGAAATAGGTGAAACGTAGAGACACGAAACATTCGTTCCTTACCGATATTCGCAGGGTTTCGACCAGGGCCCTTCCATCTTTGTGCCATTCGATGGTAGGCGTTGGCGCACCAGACAATGGAATGTTCACGTTGATCGGTTCTCCGGCACGAACCTTGATCTTCCGTCCGATCAGCGCATCCAGATTCAATTTCGGTTTCTCTTTCATCGGTTTCGCGATGAACACGGACGACGTATCGCTAGGTTTGCCCGACCCGGCAGCATTTATAGCTGTCACTCGGTACTCGTATTGATGACCTTCGGTCACATGGTCGTCGTAGTATTCCGCGTATCTCGCTGGTTCCTTGGTTAGTTTCAACCAGCGACCAGTCGCACGATCGCGTCTTTCCACGTCGTAACCGATGATCTTTGATCCTCCGTTGCTGATCGGCGCCATCCATTTGATCTTGATGTGATCCTTGTCCGCGTCCACGCATTCCGGCTTGCCAGGCTGTCCAGGTACAACTGAACAGGCGCATATTTTATCGTCAGTTTGGTTTCGAGGAATGCTACAATCGTTCTATCTCGGTATTGCAACCGGTATAAGCTTACCGAATTGGTTCTTGGCAACGATCGAGTGATCGGTGGTCAAAGGTTCCGAGCGTCCCTGAAGATTCTCCGCGCACACTCTAAACTCGTACGTGGTACCTTCGAGCAATCTCGGAACCGTGGCATGGTTAAACTTGGGATTGACATGGGTCACAGCTGGAACCCAACCGCCTCCGTGAGTCAAGTCTCGCTTCTCAATTACGTATCCACTGCGAAAAAAAGGATGTCGCAACGTTATCACCGTTTCGTCGTCGTCCTCGTTGCCGTTGTCCTCGCTTTACTTACGTGATCTCGCTACCGCCGTTATCTTTAGGCGGTTTCCAAGACAAGGTAACCGATTGACTCGTGATTTCTTCGTACTGCAGAGGACCTTCCGGTGGTCCTGGTCTGTCGAGGACGATCACCTGGAAGCTACCTTCGTCTATACCACTGCTGTTCTTCAACAACAGGTGATACAGTCCGGAGTCGGATCTCTGCGCGTTCACGGTGTGAACGATCGTATGGTAACCGATCGAGGTAACGGTGGTTCTCTCGTTCGTTTCCAGTGCCCTGCTTCCAACGGTCCAACTGACTTCCGGAGTAGGCTCGCCGACGAAGTCGATGTCCGCGTGGAAGATGAGACCAGCCTTGATTCGAATGTCTTGCAGAGGTGTCTTGATCTTTGGAGCGACTGAAGTATCCGATTGTATACCGATCGTTAGCAGAGAACGTTGAAAAAGAACGGAACTCGATAAACGAATCAATATACTCACGGTAACGGGGCTTGGCAGTGATCAGATCGCTAGGCTCCGACGGTTCCGATTGTCCAGCAGCGTTAACGGCAATTACACGGAACTCGTACTCCTGTCCTTCCGTGAGATCAGGAACGGTCGCGTTCGTCTGGTTAGGAGGAACGTGAACCGCGTTCACCCAGTATGGGCTACCCTTCTCCTTCTTCTGAACGATGTATCCAGTGATCGGTGAACCACCGTCGCTGCTTGGCGCAGGCCATTGCAAGTCGACGTGGTCCCTGTCCCAGTCTGTGATCTGTGGTCTTCCAGGGGCGTCAGGTTCGTCTAAACAATCGTTCCGGACGATTACAAATTACGCGCGATAAAGACGGAGGACCGATTCTAGTTTAAATTTAAGACTACAGCTACTAACCGAACTCGTTCTTCGCCACGATGCTCTTAGGCGCTTCGAGCGGATCGGATTCTCCGATCGAATTGACAGCTTTCACGCGGAACAGATATTCTTTGCGGTGCGTCAATCGCGCGACTTCGTGGCTCAATATCGTGCTCATACCGGCATCGGACCAGGTGCCACGCGACAAGTCCATCTTTTCAACGACATAGTGCAAGATGGGGCTGCCTCCGTCGTCCGTCGGATGACGCCAAGTCAAGTGGCAACCTTCTTTGGTGATGTTAGTGATCTCGAGCGGTTTCTGCGGCGGCGATGGTCTGTCGAGGACGGTGACCCGAGCACTCGCGCTGAATTTCCCGTGCTCGTTCTCCAGTGTCAAAGTGTAACGGCCGGTATCGGAGCGAACGGAGAACTGTATCTCGAAGACGGTTTCCGTATTAGTAGTGTACATCTCGTGGCGAGAATCGGCCATGATAACTGCTCCGTCCACGGTCCAGGTGGCAAGAGGTTTCGGCGATGCTTGGATAGGAATGATGTAGCTGATCTTCTGTCCAGCACGGACAACCAGATCGCTGAGTGCGTGTGGATCGAACGACGGGGCAACTGTAAAGAAATTCGAATCGTCGTACAGAAGAACATTCAACACGGAATTTTCAGTTTAACGGAAAGAAACGAGAAAAGAAGATTTCACTTACGGAAACGTGGTTTCGCGACGATAGGAGAAGACGCCTCGGATGGTTCGCTAGGCCCGGCTTTGTTGATAGCGATCACTCGGAACTCGTATTCCTGACCTTCGACCAGATCTGGTATCCTGGCACTTGTCTTTGCTCCCTCGATCTCCAAAGCTTTCTCCCACGATCCGAAACGCGGTTTCTTCTCGATGATGTATCCCGTAATAGGCGATCCACCGTCTTTCTTCGGTGCAGCCCATTCCAAGTCGATACGATCTTTGTCCCAGTCGGTGGCGACAGGTGCTCCAGGTTTGTCGGGCTTGTCGTACGGATCTTTCGCGGTGATCGTATCCATGCCAGTGAGCGGCAACGATTCCCCCTGCTTGTTCACCGCGCGTACACGGAACTGATAGTCGTGTCCTTCGATCAGATGGTCCACGTGGGCAGAGGTCGACGTAGCTTCCGCTACAGGCACCCATCGCATGTTCTCCGTATCCATCTTCTCCACTTGGTAATACTGAATCTCCGAACCACCGTCGTCTTTCGGCGCGCGCCACTGCAGGTTGCAGCCGTTCTTCGTTACATTCGAGATCTTGAGCGGACCCTCCGGCGGAGCTGGCACGTCGAGGACGTTCACGGTTAATGTCGCGCTGTCCCTTCCGTTGATGTTCTTCGCCTCTAGGGTGTAGACACCGGAATCGGAACGTTTCGCTTCTACCACGCGGACTTTGGTGTTGTAGTCCTCGTTCACGATCTTGATACGATCAGTCGGTACGAGTACCGTGCCTTTCACTGACCATTGCTTCGTCGGTGGTGGTTCGCCGATAACTGGAACGTCAAAGTCGTAGAAGCCACCAGCTTTCACTTTCACGTCCAACATGTACTTCCTGTCGATCTTCGGTGGAACTGAAAACGAACCAATTGGTTTTTTCCCTCTGTGCCTAGAGGAAGAAAGGAAACGCGCACGAGTAAACAGGTAGGTACTTACGATTCTTAGGTCTAGCTAGGTGAGATTTAGAAGCGTCGGAGGGTTCACCAGGTCCGGCTTTGTTAACTGCCCTAACGCGGAATTCGTAGTGCGTGCCCTCCACGAGGTCCGGCACTTTTCCGCGATTCACGTCTCCCTCAACTTCCGCGCATTTCTCCCATGTCGGACTGTATTTGTCTCGCTTCTCTATGATATAACCGGTAATGGGTGAACCGCCATCTTCTTGCGGACGGTCCCACGTGAGTTCGACAAAGTCTGAGTCGTAGTCGCTGACGGTCGGGGTGCCAGGCTTCCCTGGCTCGTCTGAAATACGAACAGCAACGATATCGTCAAACAGTCGACGTAGATAGCATCGATCGGCTAGAGACGTTACTCACCGAACGGATTCTTCGCTTCGATGCTCTGCATAGCAGCGAGCGGTTCCGATTTCCCTTGCTTGTTAACTGCACGGACTCTAAACTTGTACTTGTGACCCGGAGTGAGTCCTTCGACTTGCAGAGAGGTCTCTGGACCGTCTGTTTCTCCTGCCGGTACCCAGCGACCGGTAACTTCGTCCATTTTCTCGACGACGTAGTTCTCGATCGGTTGACCACCGTCGTCTTCCGGTGGTTTCCACGTCAACTTGCATCCTTCTGCGTGCACGTCGGATGCCCTGAGCGGTCCTTGAGGTGGGCTAGGTTTGTCCAAAACAGTCACCTTCACGACTGCCTCGTCCATACCGTTGATGTTCTCCGCAACGATGGTGTACTTTCCAGACTCGGCTCTCGTAGCCATTCTGACACTGAGGACGGTATTGTAGTCGACGTGTTTTACCTTGATACGTTCGGTAGGCCGAACCTCGCGTTTGCCCAACATCCATTTCGTGGTTGGCGGAGGTTCACCGGACACCTTCACGTCGAAGCTGAAGTTCTGACCGGCTTTGATTCTGACCTCTACCAAATTCGTACGATCGATCTTGGGTGCTTGATTTCGCGGTTTGGCAATGATCGTTGGCGTTGCGTCCGAAGGTTCGCCAGGGCCGGCTTTGTTTACGGCTCGCACTCGGAACTCGTACGGTTGGCCTTCTATCAAGTCGGGAACCGTGGCCGACGTGTCGTCCGCCGGTACCTCCAGGGCTTTCTCCCATTCCCCGTATTTGTCTTTCTTCTCGATGATGTAGCCGGTAATCGGCGATCCACCGTCGCTCGTTGGCGGAGACCAAACGAGATCGACGTGATCTCTGTCCCAGTCGGTGACGCGAAGATCGCCAGGTTTGCCCGGTTCGTCTGGAATTTAGTTCCAAAGGGATATTAGTCCAAGTTTCTTTTCCCTTTCTACGCGAGATCAATGTCGCGTCTCGAATTAGCTACTCACCGAATGGATTCTTAGCTAGGATAGCCTCGGAACAGATATTCTTTGCCCGGTGTCAATCCAGTCACCTCCAAATCTGAGGAGAGCAGGATTAAGGAGCATCGATATTATTTACTCGTTCGTCCAAGAGATTTTCCAGGTAAATGTAACTGTAACAGGATTGGACTTACTAGGCTCGGTGGATCGACCGCAAGGTACCCAGCATCCAGTCTCTGGGTCCATTTTGTCCACTTGGTAGTATTCGATCGGGGTGCCGCCGTCGTCTTTCGGCCTCTTCCATTTCAGTTTGCATCCTTCCTTGTGAACGTCCGTCACCTGGAGCGGTCCTTCCGGCGGCATTGGCTTGTCCGTGACGGTGACTTGTACCGTGACAGAGTCTCGTCCGGAGGAATTGCTCGCTGTGACGGTGTAATCGCCGCTGTCGTCACGCGAGACTGGTCGAATGCTGAACTTGGTACTGTACTCGGAATTGTCGATCTGCACTTTTCTGTCGGAGTGCAGAGGAATAGCGCCGTATCGCCACTCGATGTGTGGTGGTGGTTCGCCGATCACATTAGCGTCGAATCTTAGCAACGAACCAGCCGACAGAGTGACATCCCGCAGATTGCGCCGATCGATCTTGGGTGCCACTGGGGGAGTGAAATTTATAGGTGCCTTACCGACAGCCAATTTATTCGAATGACAATTATTTATAATGCCATTGTACGCGGGCTATCCGTGGTACGTATGTATTTAAGACGAGGATGCGTGCTTCTTTCGTCTCAGGGATACAACGCCCGATGGTAAATAAGTTGGACCGACTCCACGGCCGTTAAATAATAAATTCCTCGAAACTCGATACGGTTCACGCTCGCACGCTACGAAAGCACGTTCGAAAATCTAGCAACGGAATTGTGTACGTAATTTTTGAAAGTACTTACGGAAGCGTGGTTTAGCGGTGAACGTTTTGCTGGTGTCACCAGGCTCCGATTGACCGGCTTTGTTCACGGCTATTACACGGAATACGTAGTCGTTGCCCTCGATCAGACCGTGAACCAAACCTTTCGTGGTAGGTGTCTCGATTTCCAAAGCTTTCTCCCACATCGTGCTGTATTTGTCTTTCTTTTCGATGATGTATCCGGTGATGGGTGATCCACCGTCGCTAACCGGTTCCTTCCAAGTCAGTTCAACCTGGTTGGCGGTCCAGTCGACTGGTTCCGGTGCTCCAGGTGGGCTTGGAACAGCTGATGCAACGTTAAGTTAGTTATCGTCAAGTACGTCGATGGTGCAATTTTCTATTCGCGAGTACTCACTGAACGGATCTTTGGCCACGATCGAACTGAAAGTCTCCAGAGGTTCCGATTCTCCTTCTTTGTTAAGCGCCTTCACTCTGAACTTGTATTCGTGTCCAGGTGTCAGTCCTTCTACCTTCATTTCCGGTCCTGTTGTCTTACCAACTGGTAACCAAATTCCCGTATCCGGATCGAACTTCTCCACGAGGTAACCCTCGATGGGTTCGCCACCGTCGTCCTTCGGTTTCTTCCATTTCAGCGTGCATCCTTCTTTGTGGATGTCAGACACTTCGAGTGGTCCTTCCGGTTTGCCAGGTTTAGCTGTGAAACAATTCACGACGCGTCAGAGGAGGGAGTTGGAAGCTGCGGAAAATAGTGGGCGAATGCTTACAGACAACGGTGACTTCAACTTCGGCGGTGTCAGATCCATACTGATTGACAGCTGTGATCTTATAAATGCCACTGTCTTTTCGTTCGGGTTTGTCGTTGAAGAACTTGCTGTTATACGGTACATCCTGAATTCTACGGAAGGTTGTCTGTTGGATGCTCTTGTTGTTGATCACCCAGGTGACGTCTGGAGGTGGTTCTCCGATGATCTTCACGTCGAAGTGGAATCCTTCGTTCTCGCGTACCGTCAGGTTGCGCAAGTTCTTGCGGTCGATCTTTGGTGCAACTGTTGAGCGAACAAGCAACGCGGTGAGATAAGGGGAAAAAAGAGGAAAAGGAAATCGGCGAAATGATCTTACGTCGTCGACTCTTGGCTGTAATTGGTTTGCTGGTATCGGACGGTTCACCGGGACCAGCCGCGTTGATAGCTTTCACGCGGAACTCGTACTCGACACCCTCGTCGAGATTATCGACGCGTCCCTTGCACTCAGGTCCGGTTTCGCAAGCCTTTATCCATTTTGGACTGTCTTTCTCGCGCTTTTCTATTATGTATCCAGTGATTGGAGATCCACCATCGGTCAATGGTGGAGTCCATCTTAGGTCTATGTGATCCTTGTCCCAATCGGTTGCCTCTGGTCGACCAGGTGGGCCTGGCTCGTCTGTAAAACGAAGAAATTAACGTTAAACTCTCTCTCTCTCTCTCTCTCTCTCTCTCTCTCTCTCTGTTCAGGTGGAAAGGATTTGTATGCGAACCGAATGGATTCTTGGCCACAATTCCATGATCCGTTTCTAACGGTTCCGATTCACCCTCTGCGTTTACAGCGGCAACTCGGAACTTGTACTCCTGTCCGGGCACCAGATTCTCTACGACCATGGTAGGTTCTTTCGTGCGTCCCACGGGAATCCATCTTCCGGTTTCCGTGTCCATCTTCTCGACTACGTAGTGGTCCAGTGGAGTGCCACCGTCGTCCAACGGTGGATTCCACTTGAGCGTGCATCCCTCTTTGTGTACGTCGGACACTTTGAGCGGACCTTCCGGCTTACCAGGTTTGTCCAAAACTAGAATCTCGATCGACGCTTCGTCTTTTCCAGAGCTGTTCTCTGCTTTCAGCGTCAAGGTGCCGGTGTGAGCTCTGGTGGCGGACGAGACTAGGTACTTGGTTCTGTAGTCTTCCAATTCGATGGTCAACACGCCACCAGTTTCCTGCTTGGCCTTGTTCAGATACCACGTCTTAGTTGGGGGCGGTTCACCGGTAACCTTCACGTCTATTCGAATGTGAGTACCAGCTTTGATCGTAAGGTCTTTCAAGTTCGTGCGATCGATCTTCGGTGCAGCGTAACGATCCTTGGCTACCAGGCTGTCGCTTGGTTCGCTAGGCTTACTCTGACCGCCTTTGTTCACCGCTTTCACACGGAATTGATACTTTTGTCCTTCCACCAGATCCTCCACTCTACCCTCAGTTTTGTTTCCAGGAACTTCAGCCGCCTTCTGCCACTTTCCGTATTGATCTTTCTTCTCTATTATATACTTCTCGATCGGCGCTCCGCCGTCTCTCTTCGGTGCTTTCCATTTTAGGTCCACGTGGTGCTTGGACCAGTCCTTCAGGTCTGGTTTGCCAGGAGCATCTGGTTCGGCTGCAATTATTAAAGAATGAAACGATGTTGGAATTTCTATCTAAAACGATCTATCGTATAATACTTACTGTAAGGATTCTTGGCTGTGGTCGGGATTAGCGTTTCCAAGGGTTCGGATTCACCCTCGGAATTAACAGCCTTCACTCGGAACATGTAGTCCTTGCCTTCGTTCAGACCAGTCACATCCGCCTCTGGAGTTTTGCTCGTGGCGCAAGGTACCCATCTTCCGGTATCAACGTCCATCCTTTCGATCACGTAATGATCGACCGGCTCGCCACCGTCGTCCTCGGGTTTGTCCCATTTCAATTTACATCCCTCTGCGGTCACGTCCGACACCTCGAGTGGTCCCTTCGGTTTCCCAGGTTTGCTCAATACCTGCAGTTCAACGTCAACTTGATCGGTGCCGCTGTCGTTCTTCGCCATAACCGTGTAAGTTCCGCCATCGGATCTCTGCAATTTGGTTATGATGAAGGTAGTGTGGTATTCTTCGTTCTCGATCTTTAGACGGTCCATGCTCTTCAGCACAGCGTCCTTGAGTTTCCATGTAACAAGTGGAGGTGGTTCACCCTCTACGTCTGCTTCGATGCGCAACAGTTGACCTACTCGCATCACTTTCTTCTGCAGGTTCTTGCGGTCGATACGTGGGGCCACTGTATCGAAATGAAAGATCGTCCGTTAGTAGTACTCGAATGCAGAGGAAAATGCTGGGTTCCCCGGGTCCGGCTCTGTTAACAGCTACCACTCTGAACTCGTACTCGTGACCTGGCTCGATGCCATCGGTCACCTTGGCGACGGTACGGTCTCCGAGAACCTTTGCAACGTCTATCCATTGCCTTCCTTCCTTGTCTCTCATCTGCACGATATATTTCTCGATAGGTGCACCACCGTCGTCCTTGGGCGCTGTCCATTCCAGATCGACAAAGTCCTTGTCCCAATTCTTGATTTCTGGACGACCAGGTTTACCAGGCTCGTCGAATGGATTCTTCGCTACGATAGATTTGTCTGCTTCTAAATCGTCGGATTCACCCTCGCGGTTCACTGCCTTCACACGGAATTTGTAGGGCTTGCCCTCTTGGAGACCGGTTACCGTTGCCTCCGGTTCCGTGGATTTCGCGCAAGGGATCCATTGTCCAGTGAGAGGATCCAACTTTTCGATCTCGTAGTATTCGACCGGTATACCACCGTCGTCGTCGGGTTTCTCCCATTTCAGTTTGCAACCGTGTTTGTGCACGTCGGATATTTCCAGAGGACCCTGAACAGAGTAAAATTGTTTCCCGTGGGTGATAAAAGCCTATGGTAGAAAGACAGTTTCGCGGTAGAGGAACACGTACCTTTGGTTTGCTTGGTTTGCCGATTACGATTATTTCGATATCGGCCGTATCCTCGCCTACTTGGTTCTTCGCGTTGATTACGTACTTTCCAGTATGAGCTCTCTTGGCCTTCAGGATGAAGAATTTGGTATTGTAATCGATGTTATCGATACGTATCGTGTCGTCTGATACGAGTTCTTTGCCGTTGAAAGACCAAGTTACAGCTGGAGGCGGTTCTCCGATGATGTTCACGTCCAGGGTCACGGTAAGACCAACTTTCACAGTGATCGGTTGCAAATTGGTGCGATCGATGAACGGTTTCACTGTAACAGGAGGAATCGTGCAATTAGAAAGTGTTCGCTTGGAATGTCACCGATATGAACTTACGCCAACGAGCCTTGGCGGTGTGAGGATTGGTAGCCTCGCTAGGTTCACCGGGACCGGCTTTATTCACCGCTCGAACTCTGAACTGGTATTGATTTCCTTCTTCTAATCGGGTCACAGTTCCCGTACAAACCGGCCCCTCGACTTCTGCCGCTTTCACAAAGGTAGTACCAAATTTATCCTTCATTTCGATAATGTAGCCGGTAATAGGTGCACCACCGTCGCGTATCGGCGGTTCCCACTTCAGTTTCACCATGTTCTCGGCCCAATCGACGATCTCTGGAAGACCAGGAGCAGCAGGGGCATCTGAGGGAGAAAAAAAAAGAAGAAGAGTTTCGTTTTATCGATTCGATAATAACCTCGGGGATAGAGTTGACTTTCTGAAAAACGATTCTTCTACCGTAAGGATTCTTAGCAACGATGGCAGTGTCTGTCTGCAAAGGCTCGGACTCTCCCTCTTCGTTGACAGCTTTCACGCGGAACTCGTATTTCTTGCCAGGCTCCAGGCCGGTTATAGTCTGTTCAGTTTTTTCCGGATCAACGATTCCAGCTGGCACCCATCTACCCGTAGTCACGTCCATTTTCTCCACTATGTAACTGGACAGAGGCAGACCGCCGTCGTCTTTCGGTTTGTTCCATTTCAACTTGCATCCTTCCTTGTGCACGTCTGTCACTTCCAAGGGACCTTCGGGTTTCCCAGGCTTGTCGAGGATGATAATCTCCACGTCAGCCTCGTCTTGTCCAGAATCGTTAACAGCTTTGATGGTGTATTTGCCGCTGAGCTTGCGAGAGGTGTTGGTTAAGTGAATCTTGGTCAGATAATCCTCGTTGTCGATTTTAACGTTGGCTCCGGTCTGAAGAACCGCGCCATCGAAGTGCCAGGTAACGGTTGGAGGTGGTTCACCTTCGATGTCCACTTCTAGTTTCACCATTTGACCCGCTCTCACTTTAATCGTTTGCAATTTGTCACGATTGATGTGCGGTTTCACTGTGGAGAAAAAGGTGAACAAGAGTTAGGTTGAAACTGAAACGCAGGAATGAACGAAAGCGTTCGTTTACTTACAGAATCGTGCCTTTGCAACGTGTGGCTTGGTTGAGTCACTTGGTTCGGATGGACCAGCCTTGTTCACAGCACGCACGCGGAATTGATATACAGAGCCTTTCTTCAATCCGGTAACGCGTCCCTTTGGTTGCGGGGAGTCGGTTACGAGGGCTTCCTGCCAATTCGTCGATGGTTTCTCTTTCATTTCGATGATGTAACCCGTAATAGGCGCACCTCCGGTGTCTTTCGGTGGTTCCCATTTCAAGTCGACGCGATCCACGTCCCAGTCCTCGAACTCTGGTACACCGGGCTTACTGGCTACGTCTGAAAATATTTATTTCGACGATGGATCCAACGATAGCAGATGAATCGAGCCAAGTTGTCGATTAGCGGAAGAAGCGTGAAACATCCCCTTACCATACGGATTCTTTGCAACGGTCGTTCTTTCGGTGACCAGTGGTTCGGATTCGCCTTCCTCGTTCACCGCTTTCACTCTGAACTCGTATTCGTGACCTTCTTGGAGACCCTTCACGTCCATTTCGGTGTCCGCGGTGCGTCCAACTGGTATCCATCTTCCGGTAGCTTTATCGAGTTTCTCGACTACGTAACCGGTAATAGGTACGCCACCGTCGTCTTCCGGTTTGTCCCATTTCAGCTTGCATCCGCTCTTGGTGACATCGGACACTTTCAAAGGGCCCTTTGGTTTCGTAGGCGCCGCTGTTCACATACACGTACATCTCGTAAGAACGTTACCCGCGTTCGGTGATCAATATTAATTAATTCAACGGCCGAACGTTAGTATTTAACTTACAGAGTATCGTAACCTCGACTTCCGCCTCGTCTTCACCATGCTGGTTCACAGCCTTGATCTTCCATACTCCGGTATTTTTGCGCACGCAGTCGTTAATAGTCAGCTTGGTATTGTAATCGACGTTGACGATTTCGATATTGTCACCACTCTTCACCTCGTCTTTGGCATGATACCAAGTGATCTCTGGGGGTGGTTCACCGCGAACGTCCACGTCGAATTTGATCACTTTGCCAGCTTTCACCAGAATAGGTTTCAAGTTTGTACGATCGATTCTTGGTTTCACTAAGAAAGGAAGAAGAAAGGAAGAAGAACAAGTTGTCCGATTAAAGGTTGAACAATTGTTGTCGTATTTGAACGAAATTGAACGCTTGCTTACGGGCTTTGTGTTTGCATATTTGCATCTTAGAAGCGTCCGAAGGAGGAGAAGGTCCAGCTTTGTTCACAGCGATGATCCTGAATTGATATTCTCCTCGTTCTTTCAGATCGGCTACCTTCGCTTCCAGTTGATTTCCAGGTACTTCCATCGCCTTCTCCCAATCTGGCTTGTAACGATCTTTCTTCTCGATTATGTACTTCTCTATCGGTGCACCACCATCCGAAGCCGGAGGAGTCCATTTCAAGCTTATCGACTCGTTGTCGTAGTCAGTTATCTCTGGTGTTCCAGGCTTGAGAGGCTCGTCTGTTTAAAAACATCGAGAGAGGAGAATGAATAGAGTTGGCGTGAAAAATTGAAAGTGTAATC